GGGCTTTCCTCCCACATTTAGCTGACACGCCGGGATATAACTGGAATACTGTTAAAAGCGGCGTTAAACCCAACTCACTCACTCTCTCACTTTTTCCACAAAAACTTAAAATGCATGAACGCTAGATGTTCCATGCGTGAGGAGACTGATACATCCGGGGTCATTGTGACGTACTTCACATGAGCTATGTGACGTCGTCTGGTTGATAGTGTTACTCTTAAGTAGCAGGATCCTCAGCCCTTTAAATAGTTCATTAAGAATTGACCTTCACTTTGTGTGAGTTCATTGGAGTGTGAACCTTCATAGAGTGAGGGCCAAACTGTATGAACGTCGTCACTATGTTTTACCGGGACTGACATCTTTACATAATTTTTTTAGTACGTGTGACTTCATGTTTACACTGATAGCCATACAACAACCAGCTGTATCGCGGAATAAAAAAGTACCTCAAACAGAGGTGATGTGAGAGATTGTATGCTTAACTTGCTGTACAGGGACATCTTTTGAAGGTGACAGTGGATGAGGTCACATGACCTGAAACTAATCCCATGATGCAACACAACTGATTATAACTCACAAAAACTTTTGCCTGAACCTCGGCCCGAACCCTGGACCTTTATGCTCCTAGTCCAGTGACATAACCAACAGACCATTGTTAAGGCTGATATATGTACATGAAATTCATAACATTTTTGCATAACAGATTTGCAACATAAATTATACATTCTGCACTAACAATAGGTGTTTAGCAACCCATGCTTGCCGTGAAAGGCGACTGTGCTTGTCGTAAGAGGCGACTAACGGGATCGGGTGGTCAGGCTCGCTGACTTGCTTGATGCATGCCATCGTATCTCAGTTGCATGGATCGATGCTCATGATATCAATCACCGGATTATCTTGTCCAGACTTGATTATTTACAGACCGCCGTCATATAGCTGGAATATTGCTGAGTGCGGCGTTAAACAAGAAACAAACAAAGAAACATCAACATGTATGTATGTTACAGTTGAAACGTATCAATTATTATCATAATGTATTATGATAAAATACAACAATGCTTTCTTCTCGCGCTTTTCCCCATCCCTCGTGTAAGATTGTCAGTCGCCGGGCAGTTAGTGGAAGACCTCGGGCTTCTGCAAATGATATGCCCTGAAAAATAGCGTTACCCTTATAACATAAATGCCCAATCAAATTGTTATACCTCCAGTTTTATTTAAAACAAATCTGAACTGGTGCTATGTCTTGCTATATGTGAGTTTCAGATAGGGCCCTGATGTGCCGTGCTACTTCAGTGTGTGACGGTCGGAAGCCACCTACATCACTCACAGTTGTGCACCACACCGAAAGAATTACTGGGTGCTGAGGATGATCTGCTCCAGACTCCCTGCCGAAGATAACGTGTAAATCCGCTATCTATTCCTCCGTATGTGAATAATGAGTATGTACAAATTCAACGTCGCATCGGCAAAGCGCTGGTGATATATTTTATTAGCAATTCACATAAACTGATATTTCATGCAAAAACTAAATTCTGTCGAATCCCTTGTCTTTCGGTCTACGTCATAAGTACGTGCAGAATACCATTACACGATACAAGAAATTGTGTGAATTGATTGCCGTTCTTTGAACTCGTCTTCGTCTGGGATAGTTTGTGTCTTCATTTAATAAACTATGAAATGTCTTCGGATTTTCCAATGCACTTGAAACAAAAACTGTCTGGCTTAATACTGTCTAATCGTATGGCATTATTCACTGTTAAGACAGTAGTACTGAAATCCTGACTGCCATGGGAATTGTGATCATATTATCATATTAACTGTAGGATGTATAGTGCAAAGACACCAGCTTCATGTAAATGGACGCGGCAACGACAGACGTCGCTGTTAAGACAGTAGTACTGACATCCTGACTGCCATCAATCTCATTAAAATCAAATCTTAGTTCTCGCTATCGCTATACAAAGATCTGAGGACATCCCATTACGGGTCACGTCAGAACGACCTTTCGCGAGTTTATAGGAGCTGGTAGATCAGGAGTTTATAGGGGCTGGTAGATCAGGAATTTATAGGATCTTGTAGATCAGGAATTTATATTGGCTGGTAGATCAGGAGTTTATAGGAGGTGGTAGTTCAGGAGTTTATAGGAGCTGGTAGTTCAGGAGCTTATATTATCTGGTAGATCAGGAGTCACGGGAGATGGAAGATCAGGAGTTTATAGGAGCTAGTAGATCAGGGGTCACGGGCGGGAGCTGGAAGATCAGGAGTCTATAGGGGCTGGAAGATCAGGAGTTTATAGGGGCTGGTAGATCAGGAGTCACGGGAGCTGGAAGATCAGGAGTTTATAGGAGCTAGTAGATCAGGGGTCACGGGCGGGAGCTGGAAGATCAGGAGTCTATAGGGGCTGGTAGATCAGGAGTTTATAGGAGCTTGTAGATCAGGAGCTTATAGGATCTGGTAGATCAGGAATTTATAGGGGCAGGTAGATCAGGAGTTTATAGGAGCTGGTAGATCAGGAGTTTATAGGGGCAGGTAGATCAGGAGTTTATAGGAGCTGGTAGATCAGGAGTTTATAGGAGCTGGTAGATCAGGAGTTTATAGGGGCTGGTAGATCAGGAATTTATAGGATCTTGTAGATCAGGAATTTATATTGGCTGGTAGATCAGGAGTTTATAGGAGGTGGTAGTTCAGGAGTTTATAGGAGCTGGTAGTTCAGGAGCTTATATTATCTGGTAGATCAGGAGTCACGGGAGCTGGAAGATCAGGAGTTTATAGGAGCTAGTAGATCAGGGGTCACGGGCGGGAGCTGGAAGATCAGGAGTCTATAGGGGCTGGAAGATCAGGAGTTTATAGGGGCTGGTAGATCAGGAGTCACGGGAGCTGGAAGATCAGGAGTTTATAGGAGCTAGTAGATCAGGGGTCACGGGCGGGAGCTGGAAGATCAGGAGTCTATAGGGGCTGGTAGATCAGGAGTTTATAGGAGCTTGTAGATCAGGAGCTTATAGGATCTGGTAGATCAGGAATTTATAGGGGCAGGTAGATCAGGAGTTTATAGGAGCTGGTAGATCAGGAGTTTATAGGGGCAGGTAGATCAGGAGTTTATAGGAGCTGGTAGATCAGGAGTTTATAGGAGCTGGTAGATCAGGAGTTTATAGGGGCTGGTAGATCAGGAATTTATAGGATCTTGTAGATCAGGAATTTATATTGGCTGGTAGATCAGGAGTTTATAGGAGGTGGTAGTTCAGGAGTTTATAGGAGCTGGTAGTTCAGGAGCTTATATTATCTGGTAGATCAGGAGTCACGGGAGATGGAAGATCAGGAGTTTATAGGAGCTAGTAGATCAGGGGTCACGGGCGGGAGCTGGAAGATCAGGAGTCTATAGGGGCTGGAAGATCAGGAGTTTATAGGGGCTGGTAGATCAGGAGTCACGGGAGCTGGAAGATCAGGAGTTTATAGGAGCTAGTAGATTAGGGGTCACGGGCGGGAGCTGGAAGATCAGGAGTCTATAGGGGCTGGTAGATCAGGAGTTTATAGGAGCTTGTAGATCAGGAGCTTATAGGATCTGGTAGATCAGGAATTTATAGGGGCAGGTAGATCAGGAGTTTATAGGAGCTGGTAGATCAGGAGTTTATAGGGGCAGGTAGATCAGGAGTTTATAGGAGCTGGTAGATCAGGAGTTTATAGGATCTGGTAGATCAGGAGTTAATAGGATCTGGTAAATCAGGAGTTTATAGGAGCAGGTAGATCAGGAGTTTATAGGAGCTGGTAGATCAGGAGTTTATAGGATCTGGTAGATCAGGAGTTTATAGGGGCTGGTAGATCAGGAGTTTATAGGAGCTGGTAGATCAGGAGTTTATAGGGGCTGGTAGATCAGGAGTCACGGGAGCTGGAAGATCAGGAGTTTATAGGAGCTAGTAGATCAGGGGTCACGGGCGGGAGCTGGAAGATCAGGAGTCTATAGGGGCTGGTAGATCAGGAGTTTATAGGATCTGGTAGATCAGGAGTTTATAGGGGCTGGTAGATCAGGAGTTTATAGGAGCTGGAAGATCAGGAGTTTATAGGAGCTAGTAGATCAGGGGTCACGGGCGGGAGCTGGAAGATCAGGAGTCTATAGGGGCTGGTAGATCAGGAGTTTATAGGATCTGGTAGATCAGGAGTTTATAGGGGCTGGGAGATCAGGAGTTTATAGGAGCTGGAAGATCAGGAGTTTATAGGAGCTAGTAAATCAGGGGTCACGGGCGGGAGCTGGAAGATGAGGAGTTTATAGGAGCTGGAAGATGAGGAGTTTATAGGAGCTAGTAGATTAGGAGTCACGGGAGCTGGTAGATCAGGAGTCACGGGAGCTGGTAGATCAGGAGTCACGGGAGCTGGTAGATCAGGAGTCACGGGAGATGGTAGATCAGGGGTCACAGGAACTAGTAGATCAGGGTTCACAGGAACTAATAGATCAGGGGTCACAGGAACTAGTAGATCAGGGGTCACGGGAACTAGTAGATCAGGGGTCACAGGAACTAGTAGATCAGGGGTCACGGGAACTAGTAGATCAGGGTTCACAGGAACTAATAGATCAGGGGTCACAGGAACTAGTAGATCAGGGGTCACGGGAACTAGTAGATCAGGAGTCACGGGAGCTGGTAGATCAGGAGTTTATAGGAGCTCGTACATCAGGGGTCACGGGAGGTGGTAGATCAGGAGTCACGGGAGGTGGTAGATCAGGATTTTACGGGAGCTCGTAGATCAGGAGTTTATAGGAGCTCGTAGATCAGGGGTCACGGGAGCAGGAAAATCAGGGGTCACGGGAGCTGGAAGATCAGGGGTCACGGGAGCTGGAAGATCAGGGGTCACAGGAGCTAATAAATCAGGAGTAGCGGGAGATAGTAGACCAAAGGCTAAAACTGAACATTTATAGATTGCGACTTATTATTGGTAACGACGTTTGAGGGATGCTTCTTGCCCAAACAGCTGAATGCAGAGTCTGTATGTCAGCAGTACTAACAAACACATTTTAGAGGCATACCATATTTAATTCGAAAAACAACCTCAATCAGTTCCCGTATATACGGGTGCAAATATTTTAGCAAACACGGCCTTCCAAAGAAAACCAGCAGAGTTGTGGTATATGCACACACTTTAAATAGAAATAGCCAAGCTAATTACAATCAAGACAAAGTATAACCTCAAAGTGAAATCTCAGGTCACGGGTATGGTGCTGACAATCCTAGAAACATAATCGCGACGAACCGGGATTCGAACTCACAATCATAGGTTTCTGGCGTGCTCAAGGGACGCAACTCTGCACAGCGAATCATGGCGCCTTAGGCTACTGGGCCACCCGTGCCCCCTTGTAGATTCTTACAAATCAAGGACCATCACATGATCCTGGTGAAGATGAGGGACACAACTATGGATACCTACTTTCGGTTAATTCGACCATTGGTTACCACACCACACAGCGGTACCTTGTATTGTGGAAAGTAAATCATAAGCTGGGAATGGCAATTAAGATTAGCGTTAATGTGAGAAAAAGATCGGTCATTACATGTGGATTTGTTAGATTCGTTAAATCCAGAGTTCGTTACGTACGGAGTTCATTATATACGGGTTCGTTTAATCCCGAGTTTCTTTTATCCAGTGTTGGTATATCCGTCATTCCGCATATCAAGAGTTCGATATATCCAGTGTTCGTTATGTACGAAGTTGATTATATGCGCGTTCGTTGTTTCCCGAGTTCGTTATATCCAGTGTTCGTTATATCAGGACTTGACTTAAGAAAGGAGTTGAAAGGATACCATGAACACACTCTATAGTGGCCGACGTTGATATTGCACAATTATTTGCTCTAAATATATGCAATCTTTGGTAATGTTGATAAGTATTATGATGAAATACTCAAACACCTGCTAAGGAATGTGAACGTTTAGTAAGTGAGTTGGGTTCAACGCCGCTTTTAACAGTATTCCAGTTACATCCGGCGTATCAGCTTAATGTGGGAGGAAAGCCCGAAGTGATGCAGGTCTCAGACATTTACCACTTCGGTGAAACCCACAAGCACGGGTATGGTGCTGACAAACCTAGGAAACATAATCGGGGCGAACCGGGATTCGAACCTACAATTATGGGTTTCTGGCGTGCCTAAGGAACGCAACTCTGCATAGCGAATCGCGGCGCCTTAGACGACTGGGCCACCCGTGTCCCCAAGTGAACGTTTAAATCTCTTACCGATAAATGTTGGTTCAGGAACAGATGCACATCAAAACATAAAACCATAGAGACACACACTTGCACACTAAACGCATATATACATATATCACTCTCCGCAAAACGCACAGACGCCACTCCACACCCATCTTTCTCATCTCTCATCCTTCACACACGGATCCCAGGAAATGATTGATGAGGGAATCCACTGCTAACGAGTTAGGATGCTGGTCGTCGTTTTCTGTGGCCACTGTCATATCTATATTATTTAAGAAAAGCACATTGTTCTCCAGCCCTTTAAATGCTTCCCGCTGGATCGTATCGTATACAAACATCCAACAGTCGTCCAAAAACCCTATCTTGCCCCTACCCTTGAAAGCATGAGTTCCTCGAATAGCCACTTTAACCCCTGGGGCACGAGCAACTAACGATTTGACAGATTGTGCAATTCTTTTCATATGAGTTCTAAAAACCTCTGGAGGGAAGGGGTTAAAATGAAGGTATATATGAATGAGAAATATATCCCGAGAATTATTTGGAAGATCATCCAGATAGGCATGCGTTGCTCTGTTATAAGCCAGTTTGTTGAACGTATACCCATGATAAAATGGGTACTCATGTGGCACCAACAATAGCGTGATGTTCCGCAGCGTGTCCATTGTGACTGCCGGTTTGTGCCATTTAGAATGGTGCCATGCCTCTGTAACAAGTGTCAATCCTAAACGTTCAGTTAAAGTATTGAACCAACTTCTTGAAGAGGAATCTCCATGGATCCAAATTCTCCGGTTTTTCAGACATTCCTTGTAAATGTTCGAATCAGCTGGAATCGTGTTTTTACAAGTTAGAGACTTCCAGGAATTCTTGTAGAAGAAGCCAATAGGTGTTGATGCCTCCCAGCTTTTCCTCAAGGGTGTTTTGTTACAGGGGACACTTGGCAAAGGAACTGTGTCTTGCTCTGCAAACAGAGAACATTGGCGTATAAACTACATAGTTTTCACTTTCAAGATACACGAGTTAATAAAATACATGCAAACTTTACTGACATAATGAATACACCATTCTTGACGTGATAAAGTCCCCATGCGTAGCGTACATTTTACTGGCGACACAATACCGATGACGTCACAATGTAGATTCTTCACACTGATGGCAATAACTATGACATTTTTTAGCAGAGTGTGTTTCCATACCGTAAGTATCATATATTAGGAATATAAATTGTATAATACAAGTCATTGACGAGCATCATATATATACTGAACCGCAAAAGAACCGTCACCATGGATAGATGTATGAGAAACCTTATTTGTTCAAACACTGTAAACATTCTTTGAGACATATTTAAAAGATGACACATGGGACAAAACTGATCCTCAAGGTTGAAATTAAAGTGGCAAATGTTCTTAAAGTGAAACAAAACACTAGTCTCTGAGAAAATGGCATCACAAGTCAGTATCTCGTGTGTCCGCCATGTGCCGTGCAACGTTGATATGGATGAGGCGGTTGATGAAGGCCATAGGCACTTGAGCCCACACTCTGAGGAACGCCTGACGCAGTTCAGCTGCAGTTGTCGACCTTGGTCGGACGTCACTCAGCCGTCTTTGAATCTTGTCCCACAGGTGCTCAATGGGATTTAAATCGGGAATGGCATTAATGTGTCGCTGGTGTGTCCCCATGGTCTGTAGAGCAGTTTCCGCAGCAGTAACAACGCGATATTGAAGATGCTGTCGCACAATCTGACGATCGGGTGGTGACTCTTGGTCATCTGTCGTGTTGGTGGTCTGGTACCGTTGCTGGAGCCTGTATGTGGTCCTTACGTGGACTTGAAATGCATTGGCTACTTTCCAGGCGGTTTGCCCAGCTTGCAATCGTCCAAGGGCTGGAGGTCGCTGGGATTTCTTGTCAATCTTGGCATGTGGTAGCAATTCATTAACGAATGAATGTTATCAGATCTGGGTGGATTTTTATAGGGCAAGAAATGGGGGAGCGCATTGGCACGGGTTACCATGGCCGTTGCCATGATGCGTTTGGGCGATCGGTTTTGTTGCCATCTGCTTTGTTTTTTTATCATCAAATTTCATTTTTTTCCGGACAAGGTAATGTTAAATTTTAGAAACTTTGACAAAATTTACCCAGATATTTAGGTGACAACTTTTCATGCAATGTTACTTGGGGTGACGTTTCTTTTGCGGTCCAGTATATTTCCTATTCCAAATATATGAGATTTACTGTACGGCAACAGGAGGGTAATAATCTCCATCATAATGGCATTCTTAAAATAGATGATGTTTACGATGTTTTTTTCACCCAAGGGAAGCAGCTTTAGAAAGATGGTATGAGTACAATGCCCAGTTTATCATATAGTGCCAAATGAATTTATTTATTTATGAAACACGACGACCCTAAGTCAGCATATTGGGAACGTTTCTCAAATCCTGATGCCAGATGATGATTGATGATTGATGATTGATGATGATGATGATGATTATTATTTACAGATTAAATAATAAATGCAGCAAAGAGAGTTTGGATGTTCCTGGCACAGTCAGGCTGGTTAGGCTCATCATCAGCTCAGGGCCCTTGCCCCCTCTATACGCAGCCGAGACAGCGAATGGGACTTCTCCCAGGAATCGCTGCCAAGTCAAACCCACCCAGATCTTTTCGGAGAATGTGAAGACTCCCCAAGACTGCTGCCTTCTGCATTACTCAGATTGTCAGAAGGGCTGTATTCCTGGTAGCAAACCCGGGTACTCTCCCAATGTCAGTCAACAGATTGGGAGGTACCAAACCTAAGGCACCGAGAACAATGGGGAGTCGGACAACTTGGTACTTGGGAAGCATGCGTGACATTTCGAAAGCGAGGTCCGCATATTTGCCATGTTTTTCCACAATCTTGTCAATCACATTACTGTCAATGGGGACAGAAAATTCAATGATATAAATGATTTCATTGGATTTATCAAAAGGGACAAGATCAGGTTTGATGGCCTGGATACATCTGAGGCTGTAAATGGGCCTATTCCAAAGAATTTTGTATTGATCATTTCCATGACGCCCTTACATCTTAACGTCGTACCATGGGTGGACCTCTGTGTCAAAATCACAAGCATGGCGGAGATGGTAATAACATGATCGAGCTACACCATCATGTCGTTTAAGATACTGTGTTTGTGCCAAAGCTGGGCATCCACTGACAATGTCTCATTAAATTCATTACATAATCTACATTTCATATTCGCATTTTGATGCAAAATCACACATTGGCGGTTTCGAGTGGAAAGTGACTGGTCCTGAGCAGCAAACAGAAAGCCTTCAGTTTCACTTTTCAGGCCAGACGACTTCATCCAAGCGAAGGACTCTGCAGGATTGCTGATTGCCTCAACACACTGCACATAAACTCGATGCAGTGGTCGTTCAGAAAGCCTCTCCTTGAAAAACTGAGTCTGGGCCGACTTGATATGCACTTCGCTTGGTTGACACTCATTTCTGTACCGTCCAGCAGTACAGAACCATCCACAAAATCAACACCGACATTATGTCCCGAATCCTTGGCTCGTTTAGAAAACTGTGGAATGCCTTGTTTTCATCATGAGTCTTGACATGCTTCGCAAGAGGATCATCAGACAAAGAAATGTGTGCAAAAGTGCACAAAACAATTCTATCATGAAGAGCCCCAACGTTAATCAAACCACGCCCCCCCCCCCCAAAATGATCGGTAAATATAAGCGATTGAGGGAAGAGCGAGGGTGGTGGGATCTATTGCCTGACATGTACTTCGTGTGAGGGTGTCAATACCCTGAATCTCCTGTTTCGTCTAATCAACAACACCAAAAGAATACGAAAAGACGGGCACGGCATAAGGATTTGTGGCTATGACTTTATTGCGAGCGTTCAGCTCTGAACTCCAGATTTTCTTTAGTCTGCATTTGTACTCTGCCCAAAGTTTGCCCTTGATATGGGCATTCTAGAGTTTGTCCCTAATCTGCATCCCTAAGTACGTATAGTAAACTCCCTCTTCTACCTTGCCACGTTTCAAATGAAGAATGTTGCACTTGTCGAGTCCAAAGGACGTGCCGATATCATGAGAAAAGGACTCAACAAGCAGAATCTGTTTTTTGAGTGTAGATCCTCCATTGGCAATAAGTTCAAGGTCATCCATGTAAAGGAGGTGAGTAAGGGGTGATGGGGATCTGTGCTGAGGAGGTCCCGGGTGATAACCTTCCTCTTTGCTGAGCAAAAAGCTTAAAGGATTTAGTGACATACAGAAAAGCAAAGGGCTAAAAGAATCGCCCTGAAATATTCCTCTTCTGATAGAAATGGGTTCCGAAGTCACCACCTGCCCCTGCGAATACATCTCAAGTTGAGTTGACCAGCAATTCATTAAAGACGTGAGTAAAACACGTAGTCGCTCGGGGAAGTCAATACACTCCAGTGACCTCAAAATCCATTCGTGAGGTACAGAATCAGAAGCTTTTCTGTAGTCTATCCAAGACATTGAAAGGTTACGGTTGTAAGTTTTAGCCTCTTCAAGGATCATTTTCTGAACTAGTAGTTGATCCTTACAACCCCAACATCCCTTTCTGGCTCCTTTCTGCTCCATGTAAATAATGTCATTGGATGCGCAGTATGATGACACAATATCTGTAAGTATTATTATTATTATTATTATTATAGATGAAAATAAAAAAACTACAGCAAAGAGGGTTTGGGTGATCCTGGCACAGGCTGGTTAGCTCAGGGCCCTACCGGGACTTCAATGAAATAAGCCTTTGGTTCAGATGACGATGTAATCAATGCAATCAGTTTGTGTCGTCATGAACAAGGGATGACGGCATATCGTATTTTGCTCAACAATAAAGCAATGCGAGGTTATAGCTTATATTGACCACTCAGAACCGAGTATAACTAAAATATCCAAATGTCGGGTAAAATTATTGGCTTTTCACTTGATCGACTCTTTTAGTCAACTGCAATCATGGCCTTTTTCTGTTTGAATTGAAAATAAAACAGATACTTAATTGTGAACTATATGAACCTCTCCCACAACAGTGAGTGAGTTGAGTTTAACGCTGCTTTGAACAGTATTCCAGTTATATCACGGCGTGTCAGCTTGATGTTGGAGGAAAGCCCGAAGTGATGCAGGTCTCAGACGTTCACCAAAATATAACAGAATTATGGCAAATCTACAGACGACTGTGTCTCTCGTGTACCCGTAGGGGAAAGAAATTACGCATGACTTATTCAGTGCTTGATTGTGTCCCACTGGTTTGACTTGCCCAGTCTTCATTATTACTAGACACATTTCACATGACACAGCTGTAATATTGTGTGATAATTTGTCCATCTTTCATAACTTGAGACATACCTGACGTCACTTTAATCGCAACAGATGTGGGGAGCTTTTGATGTAGCAGGTGTCTGAAAAATAATATGCGTGGGTTATATTTGTATTAAAAACATTAAATGTAAATAATATATATTGATGTTGATTACGAGGTAGATCTGACAGTATTTGAAGATAATGAAGAAAAACCATACGTATATTTGAGGGATAGAAAAGTATATATTCTTTGTACAGATTGATTGAATTGATAGGATAATTAGAGATATGAACGTTGCCATAACCATCATCTCGAAATAAACATGTCGAGATAACCAGTATGTTGACGTAAACATCATATCGAGATAACCAGTATGTTGAAATATATATAATATCGAGGTAACCATTATCAAAACATCATATCGAGATTTAGGGTTTCGAAATAAAAATAATATCGAGATAACCATTATGTTGACATAAACATCATATCGAGATAAACAGTATGTTGAAATAATCAGCATTAGGAGATAATTATTATGTGGAAAATAATCACCATGACGGGATACTCAGGGTTTTTACATATAACCAGTATTTCGCAATAATCATGATAACAAGACAATCAGTGGGTCAGTGAGTTGGGTTTAACGCCGCTTTTAACAGTTTTATGTGGGAGGAAAGCCCGAAGTGGTGCAGGTCTCAGACGTTTACCAAAATATAACATAGGTTTCTGGCGTGCCAAAGGGACGCAACTCTGCACAGCGAAATCGCGGCGCCTTAGACGACTGGGCCACCCGTGCCCCCAGACAATCAGTATGTTGAACTTATCATAATAGAGAACATTTACAGATAACTAGCATGTCATCATTGCTGTTTGAGAAATGGACCGTTAATAATAATATCTGAATTAAACAATATGAATAAGGAAATTGATAAATAGTTGTACCCTTCGAAGAATTTTGCCTCATGTGGAGTAAATGGAGATGGCTGTTTATCCGGCTCACGTAACCCCGTGAAGTCGTGACACAACAGCTTCCGGTGTGATGGTTTCCCACAATACCACGGGAGTCCGTAATTCTCGGCTGTCAAGTTACAGACGTTCTCATAGCCCCGGATGTTTGGTATAGGTAGGCACAACGTTTCCTCCTGGACGCCATCGCTCTCGAACATCGCAGATAAGTTTCTTAGTGTGTAGTAATCGTGATATACCCGATAGAAGATATCCACGTTTTCTTTCCGACTAGCTATGGCGGCTTCGATTTTTGGACTTCCGGTCCAGAGAGCCTTGAGAGTTCCTGTATAGGTACCGTCCTTGTTGTCAGTGACAACGCCTGCTGCGCGCGCATCTTTTGACGTTTCACTCATCCATACTCTCACGTTATCACCACCCTTGTTTTTCCTCCGCTTGTACGCGTCGAAAAGTTGGATTTCAACAGAAATGGTGTCCCCGAGTCTGAAGTCCGTTTTAGATGAAGCGAGTTGAATGTTTGAATTAGGAGCATATGAACAGGTCTTTGGGTCCATCTGTGCTATGACACTCGCAAAGGGGTTGTTCTTCACTGACTTCAACCCAGGTGCTGTTTTCCTATCCAGAGACATTGGACCTAGCCAATCCGCTGAACGCCGAACTCCGTTCTTGAAATCAGATCTTGGAAGAAAGGTGCTCGGTCTGCGAACAAAGCAGAGTGAATTGTATAGAAGAATGGTGCATTTGAAAAGAACTGTAAAAGTAATGCCTACAGCAATATGCATAAAACTCCAAACAAGGTAAAGGACAGCCACAATTGGACGGCTGCGAGTTGCAACACCCATCAACCATGACAAATCAACTTCAGTCATATGAAAAAAACGGATGTTTTTTAACTTGTGACTGATTGACAACTATCATTCAAAAGGACTCAAAAAAACATGCTCATCGATATATATATATATATATATATATATATATATATATATATATATATATATATATATATATAAATGATTTAAAAAAACACCAAGATATTCTTTTTCTGAAACGGAATTCTGAGACCCGAATACTGGCGAACATACAGTGAAAGAGAAACCTAATAAAACAATCGCGCGGCCCAGTCAACTAATTATTGACTATCCATTGACTAGAAACGGTCGTAAAATCTGGAAACCAGATAGTGAAATCGGATTTATCAAGTTACATCCGTCCATTCCCTGAAACAAAGGGAGTTTGGCCGGCACACCATTTTGCACTCCACTATGACAGGAGGAGTACTGCTGAATACTTGAGATGACGTTGGTATGTAATACTTCTGTATAATACATGTCAAATATCTTGAACAGTAATGCGGTAAAATTGGGTTTACCGTCGCGAACAAGATTATTGCATTGCATTTATATAGCGACGTTTCCTTCTTGTTGTGGCAACGTTAGAAAATAATATCAATCAGGATAATATTCATGATTTACATGCCCGTCAGATACCCTCCTCAAGTCGTGACAGGTCTGTTAATTATAGTTATAAGTTTGTGCTAATTTATTTTCATTTCGATTCTTTGGATTTAGTGATGAGGTTCCTTTTAAAAGGTTTCTGAAAATGGCGTCAATGAGACAGCTGTTGCTGCCATCAGTTTCGAATTTCCGAATTGTTTCTTTTCCCATTTATAGATATGTTTGGAAAAGTATAATTTCATACCCAGGACTGGATTTCAAATATAAATAATGACCTTACAACAGTTTCGTTTACGTAAATAAATATACCAAACAAAGCAAACTTTCAAAACGTCAATATTAGAACGTGTTTCGAGGTCCAAATTCTCTCATACAACTGTGCATTCGTTAACATCCATAAACTCAAGAATATCAGGCGAGCTCAATTATAGCAAACTATATTTGAGGTTGGCATGATTTGCTCGTATTTAGTTCCGTGAAGCACTTCGCGTTCCAGCAATATCTTCATGTTTGCTGGAAGCAGAGACCATAAATCTATTTTATGGTCTCTGCTGGAAGTAGGAAACTAGATTACAAGTTTTATCTATAAATCTATATATGCGTGATAATGTTGTCGCGAGAGTGTGTTCCTTATGACTACATATAGATGATATATAAGATTATGTTATGCCCGAAATAAGGACAGTGGTCCTTTCAAACGTGTTGTAACGGTCGAGTGTACAAAAATCAAAGGCACAAGGTGGCGTTGTAATCCAACATGGCGGCGCCAATGAAACTGGCCTGATTCATTGATTGTGGATAACTTCATGTTTTTCTCGAAGTGTTCTACTATATTTAAGAAACATAAATACTTGTACACAGTTCGTAACTATACAGTTCAATGTCCATGGTGGAGTGATGGTGTTTACTTCATCGGAATGATTATTCTTCAACATTTTCCAGGAAATTATTATGATTTTCTTTTCATTGTTATACAGAGAGACGAATGACTCCAGAATACGGTTTTCCTCCAGGTATATAACCGAATAAAAAAAAGCATAAACAGAAGTATTGTCCCTTGATTTGATCCGTGACACTTTTGAGAATTGACAGAGTGTAAACGATCATCAGTTGCAGCACTTTCACAATCATGGAATGACATTAAAGATTCTTCATTGAGGATCATTTAGAGAATATAATTGTATACTGTTTGATTGGCGTTCTTGAAGTTGGTGGGCAAATAACAGGTGAGGTGAAATAGGGTCTAACGTCGCGTCCAAGATTATTGCACTTAAAAGGCGACGTGCATACACGTGTGTGTGTGTGTGTGTGTGTGTGTGTGTGTGTGTATGTGCGTGTGCGTGTGCGTGCGTGTGTGCTAGTCCGGACTGATACCGTTTTATAGTGCTGGCTCACTGAGATACCATGCCGCAGTTTAACATGAATACCCCACTCAGACACAGTATACTGACTTCGAGCCGACCAGTCCTTGTTTTAGCCCCTAATGCCGAGCGCCAGACAGGGTAACAACAAGTACCATCTTTTAGCGTCTTTTGGTATGACGCGGCCGCCCTCCGGGTGGACGCTCTAACACAAGACCTCGGAGGCGGTCAAATACGGATAGATATAACTACTTAGGAATTACATTTGAAACAAATGGTCAACTTAAAAATAGTGCTACACCTCTCAGGAAAAAGGCCCAACAAAAGCTTTGGTCTCCATTCTTAACCAAGATATACCTACAGCTCTTACTTGCAAATTATGCAAAACATTAATCGAGCCAGTAATCCTATATAATAGTGAATTATGGGGTATAGAATCAATCCTACTGAACAACTCTGATTCATTCAATCATTCTCGAGAAACTGCAGGTCAGATTTTGTAAATCCATGACTGAAGGATTTGCAAAGCATGTTTACCGCCAACTGGTCGTCGACAGATATTTTGCAAATCTTTCATGTTCTTGATTAAAGTGCTCAAGTGATTTGATACACTTCGCGAGGTAAGGCCCGCACACCTGTACACGTATAATAACAGCAGTCATGGTGAAAACGTAACACTGCACATAAACTGACATACATGGTTTGCTCCCTGTTGCGTCGGTATGTCGCTGATAGATCTCAAGGTTCCGCCCCACTTCTCCAATACCTCTCTTGCCTTTAGATTGTCGATTGTATACATGAAACCACCATCGAGGCGTGGGAAGAAATCTCGAATGTGATGCACATAACTTCAGCAAAATATATATCTAAATTGAAATATAGATGTAAGTAGCAATGGCATGTCCCAAGTGTTGTGCGTACAAACGCAAACTTATTCAGCCATATTCAAATCCTCAAATGGTTTGCTATTACCAACGCCGTCAATAGTAAGGCACTGCTTGCAGTATATCACTCCTATGAAATTCGCATATGCCGGAGTGTCCCAGGGTGTTCTATATCAATTTTCGACCTCTTCTCCAATCGAATTCTGAAATGGTTTGCTTGTACTGACGCCGTCAAACGCTTACATCGCCCTTACGAAATTGGCGTGTGCCAAAGCATACTAGGGTTGTTCTTAACCTCGACCTCGCTCCGCGATTCGCCTTCATGCGAATAACTAAAATTGAAAAAAGTCGCCTTCGTGCCAAAAACAACAACAATACAACACGCGGCTGTAAAGGCTTTGGATAACGTTAGCGCTTAAGGCACAAGATGGCGCCCTATTGGTTAAATGGCTCCCGGTCGGATCTATGTATTATCGATCTGATCGTCTTGACATGGCGCCGCCATTTTGTTTGAAACAATTGCACGTGATATGAGGTGGAATCTAATTGGTCAATAGGAGGGACAAAGAAGGGACATAACTCGTAAAAGCCATTGGTGGCGCTACCATCGATTCTGGAAATACCAGCATAGTTTTGCAAGGGTGGAAACTGGACTTTTTTTTATAAATTCGAAGTGTCTATTAGTGTGTATGTGTTATTAATTTTGCGCAGAACACATATATACTGATTTATTAACGTTGTAATACAGCATATTTATATATATGTATACATCTGTTTAATCTTGTGATCTTTATTCGTAAATTTGGCTCTTTTTCTACAGGAGATTATGGGGTATAGACTAGTGGTTACATAACACCAGAAAGCCAGGTATAAATTCACGTCATGATTTCATGTTTCATGTGGGAAACCAATATCGCAATATGGCTGAATATGGCGACACGTGGTATTAACCAGATTACTCACACATTTATTCAATTTTCTTTATGCACTTTCTACAATCATCTGTGATCACTAATCATGAGATGGTATATCTATATACACATAAGAAGGTATATCTCTATTCATCCAATTGTCCATACATATTTGTCCACATATATATGTATTAAGCAACTCCGGCATTTCCTCTGTATACATTGATATATGTAAATATATTTTTTAATGTCAACACTGTTGCAGTGAACGTACCACAGACCTGATTCTGACCTAAACTGACATCTAATCTCTGAAATGAACATATTTTACTGAAACAAAAGTTGTTAAAAAATACTTATAAAATATAATAAAGAGGAGCCAAGAGACTTTCTTCATTTTGCCAAATATTTGGCTGTATTGGATATATTTGTTTCAGTGTCTGTATGACAGATTTACCTGATGCCTTATGACTGAAACAGAGCTAGTTGAAAAAAATTCTTTATAACGTTTTCTATGATTGTCAACTTTATACAATGTTCTGAGCCAAATTATGAATCATTGTACACTCTTCAAAAAAAGAAACGCATACGTGTTTTGAGAATACCAATTACATTTTTTTCCCCTAGCAATCTTCATAAAGACAATTCTTTTGTTTGATTCCCGTTAATCATGTTTGTTGTGCATTGCGCGCAAACACATCTCAAAATGTTTTTTGTAAACGTTTATCAGCAAAAATGCAAAGGATGCACGGAAATTGCTCTCAGAAAAAGTTTTCAGCACACTGCATGTGCAAAATGTTGGAAACACTGACTATAAAAGACCGTACAAAACTCATCAGTTCATTACGAATTTTCTGACGTGAACGGAGATCGAAAAATGCCAAGATTAACGGCAGCTGACCGAAATATCGCCATTGGACGTTTGGAAGCAGGGGTGTCCCAGTCTGCCGTTGCAAGACACTTCAACGTTCACCAAAGCACCATATCTCGACATATACCCGCACTAATTTGACTCAAGATCATCCCAGAAGTGGAAGACCAAAAGTGACCACCCCTGCCACCCCTGCCGTCCAAATCGCCTGATCTCAA